TTCCCGGAAAAAAGTGGCCTTTTTCGAAAAAACTTTGCCGGCGTCTAGACTGCTGCTGCGTTCTTTCAAAAGTAAATCAAAAGAATGCAGCAGTTTTTTTCGACCGCGGAAAACCTCATTTTACGAGGAATAACGCCTTTTCTCAGCAGTACTCTTTTCAAAAAAGGCGCTATGTAATGCAAACTGTACTTTTTCAAGAGCGAGCATGCAGACTGCCTGGGTGCTCTCTTTCGAAAAAGCAGCTTGCTTTTTCGAAAGTACTGGTTGTAGTCTAAACACTCTTTTTCGAAAGAGGCTTTTTCGAAAGTATCTTTCGCAAAAGCCTCTTTCTAAAGAGGCTTGCGGTCTAGACATAACCTTAGAAGCAAAAATACTCCACTTTGCAAGAGGACTCCAGAGTTCGCAATAAACGAGGAGTTAATGTGCAGCAATGAATCTGTGACATTGGTATACTTTCAAATTGGATTAACTTGATGTGATCAGGTTTAAAACCCCAGATTGTCAAGCCCCAAGTTCCACTGAAAGTCAATGAGACTTAGGGTATGTCTACACTACCCCGCTAGTTCGAACTAGCGGGTTAATGTAGGCATACCGCACTTGCAAATGAAGCCCGGGATTTGAATTTCCCAGGCTTCATTTGCATAAGCGGAGAACCACCATTTTTAAAACCCCGCTGGTTCGAACCCCGTGCAGCGCGGCTACACGGGGCACGAACTAGGTAGTTCGAACTAGGCTTCCTAGTTCGAACTACCGTTACTCCTCGTGAAATGAGCCGCGCTGCACGGGGTTCGAACCAGCGGGGTTTAAAAATGGCGGCCCCGCCCAGTTTATGCAAATGAAGCCCGGGAAATTCAAATCCCGGGCTTCATTTGCAAGTGCGGTATGCCTACATTACCCTCCTAGTTCGAACTAGCGGGGTAGTGTAGACATACTCTTAGGGAGTGAAGTACTTTTGAAACTGTTGCCCAAAATCTTTTAGACAAGACCACAGACTAAGTTATTAACAACTTCCTAATAACTCTTACAGGAAGAGGGAATGATTCCCTGGCCCAATTCCAATGGAACAACAGCGTGCACCCTGTGTGTAAAAATGAAGATACTCTTAGTTTCCTTTTCTAAACTATAGTGTTTAACATTTATTAAAGAATTTAAGAGTATCCAAAGGGGTATCATCAAAGTGCACTGGACGCCTGTAATCTAGCCCTCACAGCAAGGGAAACACTTTATAGCTAAGCACATTGCAAATGTTCAAAAAGGTTAATACTTTCACCCGCCTCCTCAGACACGTTCATCCATCCCAACAATGTGTCCTTTCAAAATGAGCTTTGTTTAAGAGATCTTTAATAAGGGACTCTACCCCCAGATGGAGCACTTAGTCATACCTGTCATACTGATGATGCATCTGACCAGCCTGTTAAACTCCAGGATGTTTAAAAGGCTGATCTGTTAAAAGTCTCCTGGATTTGACATGGGTCACTCAATTTCAGGTGCCACTTACTTGGATCCTGAGCATCCACTTCATACTCTTGGATTGGGAGAGCTAGAGTCATGGGGGGGAAGCTTTCTAGTCACCATATAGGACAGGAGGAGCAAGAGAGATGGATGCAGCCTAAAGCACAGCCCTACCACCAGAAATGTAACTAGACACACATTGGACAGTGAAACAGGGTATCATTCTACCCATATTTCTACAAGCAGAGGCAAACCTGAGGACTAGGCTAACAAAAGTGAAAAGAAAATTGGAAGATGGAGAAAGAAGGGAGTGGAGAAAACTGGAGGCCAGGAGACAGAAGAGCTAATTGCAGTTTAAGAAGTTTGCATGGTTGACAAAAATCACATGCTATACCTCTCACTGTTGGTAAACATGATAATTCCCTCTCTCATTCAATTGAAACCCATGTGTGAATGAGCAACACCATAATTTACATGATTTTGAGAGAGCATGATACTTTGTATGGACTATCTAAATGAATTACAATATTTACATGTCCGTAGGGTACATCTCTGCTTTTCTTTTGGTTACACGTTTAGAACTCAAAACTGTTGTTAGGATGGGAAACAATTTTCTGGAAATTCAAGCCATGCACTCTACCTTCAGTAACCTCCTGGGGAGGCACATTCATATAAAATGTATGAAAACTCATCTTAATTGTTCCTACCCTATCTGCCAGGAAGCTATGCTATTGTTTTGATGTCAGACTGAATACTAATTTCCTACTTAATTCTACTTATGACTCATCACATGGAAGTTGGGATTCTATTAAAATCAAAGCAACACATCTTGTGGATGAACAAGGTAAATGTTGTAATAATAATGTGATACAGGTCTATCAACTGTAATCATAGAGCCCTAACTAATCATATACATGGATACAAAGGAGGTGAAAGGTAACATTTTTACTCTGTAAATAAGTTCCAGCCATTCAAACTCCAATACACCAACTTGTTTTTAAAAATATGGTTTCCTACTTATTTATTTTTCCTTTAATAACAGACAGTTTAGCATTTCATAGTTTCGCATTCTATACACTCTTATACACACTGTCCTTGTATTAGCATTAAAACACAAAAGACATAGCAAGACCTCCAAACACAAATAAATACCAAAACACACAGTATACAACAAACTGAAGTACAACATATAATAATGCTATTGGAAAATTAAGACATGTTGCTTCATTATTATTATTATTAACAACAACAACATGGTTATTGCTGAGCAATAAATTATACATTTTTAAAGTCTGTCTCCCCACCCTTAAAAAAGTACGAATACCACTGGTTACCAGATCACTTGCACTTTATCCTTACAGCTATTTATAATTAAGACAGGCAGAATATACACAATCAAATGAGGTTGGCCTTCTTTGGTCTTTGTTTTTGGATCACAGAACTGAACATAACAGGTGTACCATTCACTGAAGAGTATGAGATAAAATGTAAGTTACAAAAGTTTTGTAAACATTAATTTGTACACTTCTTGAATACTCATGTATTTTCTACAGATATTTCTTAAGAGAATTTCTTGGAAATGTCAGCTTTTAGTTTTTCCAATTTGCAGAATGTTTTGTGTGTTTCAAAGGTTATCCTACTTGTCTGAGAGGAATGGACCTACCTACAGCCCATTGTTTCTGAATAGGATATTAACATCCACTAAAAAGTTATTCGGGAGCTTTATCTCTCCTAAGAAATCCTGAATTTTCCCCTTTATTCCCCTGTGAAACTGAAAAGTTATATTAATCCCTAAACACAACAGCTACAAGGAAAATAAGTGTGTGAATCACATGGTGCATCAGCAATGATGGAAGCTTGAACTTTTCCATTCCACAAGTGCAGATTATACAACTCTCTGCCAGTGAGACAGGTCATAGTTGGTAAATGTGTCCTTTCAAAAACGAGCTACAACTGAATGCAAAGCTCAGAACACTCTATGCAGGAGAATGACCTTTACGTGTGGCACTGCTGGTTTATCTCAGTAACCCTTACACAGAGTCAAATTTCTCACTACGCATCCCACTGCTAGCAATGGTGCGAGTGAACACTGGCATTGATAAGAAGTTAAAAAGTCCTCGTGGAACTGGCTACCAAATTAACAATTTAGTTCCAAAGGACCAAAAGGTAAAAAAAACCACCACGAATAACAAGCCATTGCTTAAGAGATGATGAACCAAAACCACAGTTAGGATCCTGATCTGGAGGTTGGATCAGGTGTATCTCTGTGAAATTTAGATATGAACCTTAGGAACTAATACTAACTTGGAGAAAATGTGGCCTAATATAGACACTAAGATCATGAAATGGAAGACAAAAAGCTACAGTCTTGCCAATAAATTAGAAGAGAAATAGGATTAAACAGATCCCTTGTGTGCTGTATCTCTCAACTCTTCCAAAATTTAAGAATGCCTTTGAATGTGCACCCAAAATTTCTCCTTTGACCTTCCTCCATTTGGCACTGTCTTGAAGGCTCAGATTAAAAGGCAGGAAGTAACACAGTTAAGCCCTCAATTTTGCTGCTCAGCTAAACTGATTAAGAAAGGGTCACAGTAAAGGTTGCCAAAACTCAAATCAATCCACTTCTGTTTTTGGTCCCCCTGCCTAAACGAGCCCTTAAAATCTACCCCCAAAACCAGGGCATCATAAAAGGATCAACTGAAAAGTACTTTGATTGGTGACCTGTGCGCGGTCATATGCACGCCCCCAAATCATGACAGCTCATATTTTTAATTCTAACCCTTACAGGCTTGACTGTGGGTTTTAAAAATTTCATTTCTTTTGTTTTTCAGTTTCTTCAAGGGATAAGCACATGAAAAGTTGAGGTCCAGTGGTTTGAACATAGGACTAAGAGATAGGAACCTCTTTTCTAACCTTGATTCCAGCACAGGCTCCTTTTGTGGCTCTGGGCAAAGTCATTTAACCTCTCTACCTCCGTTCTCCTGTCTATAAAATGTGAACACTTCTTGTGAGGATTAGTTCTTGTTTGTAAAACGCTTTGTAAATGAAAAGCACCGGGTCTATACAGAAAGCACCAGGCCCACCGTTGGGAGGGGGGAAGAAAGGGGTAGTTGCCCCAGGGCCCAGTGATTCAAAGCAGTGACAGCACTCAGAGCTCTGAGCCCTTTAAATTGCCGCACTACATGCTCCAGGCAGCTCGCAAGGCTGCCTGGAGAGGCGGGGGTGCAGTGCAGTGCACTCCAGGCAGCACTGGAGGGGGGAGCATGCACTATAGTCCAAGTACGCCATGGTTTAAATGCCCTCAGCTCTGCTTCTTCCACTTGAAGCTGAGGCATCCCCCCATACCTTGTCCAGGGGCCCGGCATGGCTGTTGGCTCCCCTGGTAAGCACTAAGAATCACTATCAAATACACCACAGACCAGGGTAGATTTTTTTTTTTTGAAGTTACCATTTCGAGGTCAACAGAAGTTGAGAGGTATTGAAGAAGCTACAGGAACGGCAGGAAGAGGCGGGCAGAAGACTAGTTGTTTTTCCATTTTCTTATCTTAAAAAAAAACCACTGTAATCTTTTGCCCCACCTCTTTGTTCTGAGCTGCCCAGCACCAACTGTTTTTTTTTAAACCCTGAATCTCCTGATTAGCTGAGTGAAAGGATATGTGAACTAGATGCCACTCCATGAAGCATCCATATAGTTTTTAGAAGGATCCAGCAAGCTACCCACTTTCTATGAGACAAAGCAGTTTGTGTGTGCAGTGTGCTGAGTCTTCATACCTGGAGTGTGGGAATTTAGGGCTTGCTACTATCCATGAATCTCCCTTAACAGTAGCAAAAAACCCATTTGCACTCGTCAACCAAGACTGATTTGGGGGCTGGGGTTATTTTGATAATTTCCATATGGTCAAACAATTCTTTGTCTGACAACAAACTCAGAATAAACATAGAACGTTGTAACAGTGAAAACTCTGATACTAGGTTTGTAACTAAAATTCATTAGCTAAGATTATTTTTCTCCCTCCACCTATTAATATATTTGCATAGTTAAACATCAAGGCATCAAGACTGCAGTAACATTTGATATAGTCAGGAGGTGCAGAATACTTCTCTTATCATTGCCTACAGGCATTTCTGGCTTGCACCCAGAGCACCAATGTTATCAGAAACTGCATTGTTGGTGAAATGCCTATTCAGCATGATGGACTATAGTTTACAAATAGGTGGATTTTAAACTCAGTTGCAACATGCCATAATCAGGGCAAGTTGGTAGCAACTTGAGCAGTATAATCGTACCCTAACATTCATGGGTTCAATACTTTAGAACTACAACTAAAACAGATCTCCATTACCTTGCATTGAGAGATTCATCAGGCACATTTCACATCTTAGGGTTTGTCTCCACTTACCAGGAGATCGATGCTGCAGAGACAGATCTTCTGAGGTTCGATATAGCAGGTCTAGTAAGGGCCTACTAAATCGACTGCTGATGGCAACCCCATCGACTCCAGTACTCCACCGGGTCATGAGGAGTAAGAGAAGTTGATGGGGAAGTTTCTCCTGTCGAACTCCCGCAATGGGGACCACAGAAATTCGACCTAAGGAACGTCGACTCCAGCTATGTTATTCTTGTAGCTGGAGTTGTGCATCTTAGGTCAGCTTTCTTCCCCAGTATAGACCAATTATTAAACTTTCCTTTTCCAAGTAGGAAAACCAATTTGGAAGAGGAATTAAACTGCATTTTAATCTTATTTTAAAAAGATAGCTAGCATGTTACCCATTACATTTCATTATCATTTGAGCTACCCCCTTTCTGTTTTCCTATTGCACATTCTCTTTGAGAAGAACAAATTTACAGTAAAAGGCTGAAATCAACATTGCATATAAAAAGTCAGCAGTTGATGTAAGTTGTGAATGTGTACATGTAGACAATAGCTGAACAAGATCCCTTTAAGATCAACAGAGAAGTAATACAGACGCGGTCATGCATAAGGATCACAGATTGGTCGTTAAATGCTGAAAAATAGTTTCATCCTGTTTAGAATTTGAGACTTTTTAAAAACAACAAATACACACCCCTACTGTACGTATTGTGTACAACAGACAAGATCCACCTTCTGGTAGACTGGAATCTTTTTGCTAGATGTACCAACTGAGGAGGAGATACATATACATACAGTTAGAGGGTCACTACTGTGAAACAAACTGCAAGAGCATATGGCTATACAATGCCAATGAATACTAAATAGCAATTACAAGGCTCTAGTATGTTTATGGTAATAATTAGCATTAACTCAAATAGCATTGGCCTGCCACTGCATTCATGCAACTCCACTGAGACTCATGGGGTTTCATGGGTATGCCCTATGAGTTACTTTTATAGTCTCCAGAAAAGTTCTGAAATACCTGGGAAGAAAAAAACCTCAGTGTTTGAAAAAAGAATGTTTAATAACATTACCTAATCCATAAAACAGTAAAACACAAGGAACCTTTACCGTAAATTTGGATGACATTTCATAACATTTCTCTAAATGCTACATAGTTTCATTGCTGGGATGCTAAGGGAACCCAGTTACACATAGCAAAAATCTCACAGTCTAGGGATATTTGGTGAGTTTGGCAGAGGTGAATATTATAATTCAGGCTTCATGTACTCCATTGCAGGATTTAGTTAAATTTCGCATAAGATTGTGGGATTCTGCAGAATTTAGAGGAGCAAACTGGAAACTGTTGTAGCTTCCCATTATTTTTAAAATGAAATTATAGTCAATATCACCTTGCATATTGATTTGCCATTAAAATCAATGTATATGCCAAAATATTTTTGTATTGACAATACATTCCTGTGTTCTAGAAGCTAATCAGAATAAATCTAGAGGTTTGAGTAGCTAGGGCTTCTGGAGTCTAAGTACGGAAGGCAGTTTGGAGAATTATGGATTAAATACATTAGTTGATGTTTCTGGTTAACTAATCAAACTACTGTTGACATTTAAATTTTCATCAAGAGGTTTCAGAGTTAACACCACATTGATATGAATTGGTGATTCAGGCACCCCAGACCTATTATTAACTCTATGCAGACTCAAGAGGACTATGCTGTAAATTTATACTTTTTCTTACTTCATTTTTTGTTTAAGAGCTTGGATTCAGAAGCACAATTCTGCTGCAAGACCTGGAGTCTGCAGCTATAGAACTGCAAAACACATGGGGACTGATGATAATAAACTCTTACCTAAATTAGTCCCAGATTCAAACAGGATAAAAACCGTTCTTACGTGACCATACATTTTTCACAATACATATATTAGCAATGGGAGCAGAGCCCTTTGGACATTTCCACTTGGGAATCCTGTTTTCAGTAAAATTCTGTGATGCACATACACAAAAGCTCAGCTGCCTACATTCATGACTATTAGAATGGTATGCAAGTTGAGTGAACCTTTGCCCTAAAGCATAAGTGATGGGTTTACTTAGGCTACCTGCATAAAACTGCAAGTGCCATATAGATCTTCTGCAGGAAGTCCTCCTTCTGTGCTAGAAGTGAAACATTAGCACATGCCTCCTTACAAAAGTTGCATCTGTTGTCACCCATGTACCATGAAAGGAATATAGTACCTGGACAGTGGGAAGGCAAGAACAGGAAGACTGATTGCTATGGAATGGCTTGGATGCCAAGAAGCCGGCAGAATTCTAGCAGGTGCCTGGAAAACCCATGAGGACCACTTAGCATGCACTGTATATTTGTAACAGGAAAATACTTCTTGCAGGCACAGTTTGTGAAGGCACAGCCATAAAAGACAATGGCAACAGAGACAAGCTGAACTATAAAGGCATGAATTCAACTGAGCCCTAGGTAAATACTGTGGCTATGCCCCCAAAAGTAGGAAACTGAATGGGCACCACCTGACAATCAAGAAGAGGGGTTCAATACCCTCTCAGGTGCACAAAGTTGTACTAATTAGCTTCTCTCATTAATTCTAAGCAGCACTCAGATTTTAAGTAGCACCCAGATGGCTGGTATATAGTTAAGCTACACCATTGGACTCAATATTTCCAGACTATCAAGCAGAAGTAGATAAACACAGTGGGTTGCAATCAGCATGTTTCAGGGTTGGGAAATGCTTTCTGCTGTAGCGCAGGCAGTTATAACAAAGAAACCTGTGCATTTCCACGTTGGGATGCTTGTCACTCGGCCTTGAACAGATACCCGTGAGAATATACAGCAGAATTCTCAAATTAGTCAATTTAAAGCGCTGCCCCCTTCCATACATAGGACTGGGAGGAAGCAGGACTCCTTCCTTCATTTTAGCCTAGAGGCACTGTCAAAGTCCATGCTCCATAGGAGCAGTGTGCATACAATTTTGGCACCTGAACATGATGGATTCCATGATAATCAAAGCATAGAAGCTCTTGCAGCCAAACCTGGACTTCAGATTCTGTTCTGCATGTTGCTAACTAACTAACTAAGGGCTCTGAAGACGAGTCTACACACTTTGCCTGAAGTCCAGTTAAAACTACCATTTTGGATATTATAATTAATCTAAATACAAAGCTATGGTTTATAAGCAGCACATCACATTTAAGGCACATGTATGCATGCAAGCCACCATCATCTTTCCATTGCTTTCTGATCATATCTCCTTAATAAGATGCAATGATCGCTAGTACAGAATGAACTCAGGGGATCATGACTGGCTGTGTTTCAGCACTAATCCTCCTCCCCTATGCTGAAAATATTAGGTGTTGCACATTTATGCTGTCAGCAATATATATAGCTTGATTGGAAAGCATGAGGCAGAACTTTAAAAGCGTACAGGATTCCGTTTAGAACTCCAAAGTTCAACAAATGCCCTATTTTAGGGTGAAAACAATTATAAATCTGATAATGATGCACAGCATCCATGAGTGATTTTTCCTAATTTTGAAATAGTGTCATTAACTACGACATATATTGTAGGTTTACATTTCTAAAGAGAAATAACATCAATAGTTGAATAATTTCTTTTTTATCACAAGTGATAACCAGTGTTTGATATCTTCTATTTTTCTTCCAAGAAATATCAGTCTATCAACGGCTTTAAAATAAAATGTTTTTTTCTGTAACAATTATTAATAGAACTTTAAATAAAAATATGATTCTGATATAGATACTTTCAAGAAGACCTGGATATTTCAAGGTCTTCTGACAAAGTAATTATTAAAACAGAGACCAGATGAGGCCTTAAAAAGACAATATACTGTATTTCAGACACGATTGCACTTAGTTTTTCAAAGTAATTATATCATAGTTGCAACATTACTTCATCATTTCTTCTTTTACTTAACATGCTGACAGTTTCCAGCTAACCCACAGATGAACTTTTTTGTATTCTAGTCTAAATGAAGAAAAGTCAGGTAAAATTTATTCAGCACATACTTTACATGTCTTTTCACCTCCAATTGACTAGATCACTAATAAGTTAAAAAAACCTCTCTGACTGTAATCATTATCCACATGAGGGATAAATAACTCTTCAGAGTTTAAGTGTTACTAGTTTTATTAGAAAATATACCATGGTATGATTTCTTAAATGTGTTGCTACTTTCACCATTGGACCCTATGAAGTTATGCCTTCAAACTCTTCCTTCTGTTCCACAAGGTGGTCCTTTGTGCTTTAGGACCTCTGATTGAAGACAAACTGATAGAAAACCCCCAAATGGAGTTGTCTTCTGTTTAATCTGTCTCCCCATTTGTATGTCAGGGGTCCGGTAGATCCGATGTATCCACTATGACTTTAATAAAAATAGTATCATCTTTAATATACGTTCCATTTTCTAGAACTGTTTGAGCCACAAAGACTGGGCAGCCAGATGCAATGTTCATTTCTCCAGTAGGCTTCTTGAAACTACTGCTGTTTGGATCTGGTTTGAAAGCATCGCCTAAGTGACGCCGCGAAGGTCCCTGATCCATTAGCATCAGAGTCACTTTCTGTTTAAATGGCCAGGGAAGTAAGGCATCATATTCTCCACGCATTATGACGAAAAACAATGACAAGTGCGTCCCTTTTCCCATGCCATCTCCATTAAGGTAAACTCTGGCACACATCTTATAGCCAAAGTATCCAGTATAAAAGGGCTGGCTGTACAATGACAGAGTTTTCCCCATGACGGCCTCTTGTTTCCGACGTTTATAATCTCGAATTTTCCAAATTAATACACCATTGTAACTGGCAGTTTCTAACACCTGGAATCGGAGGTCCATGTCAGCCAGCCGAATATCATGAACACTGAGCATTTGATCGTGTCTACTTAGCTGTGTCTCTAGTATGGCTAGTAGAAAACAGAGAGAGGTTTGTGGGGGGAAAAAAAGAATAATTTAACTTTTTAAGAATATATGCACAATAGATACTCAACAGCACAAAATAAATACATACCTCAAAATGCAATAAGGTTAAGAACCAAGTAACATCGAGCCATACACAATTTCCACTGCCAAAAAGTAGTTATATTCACTGGCTTTTGTATACAGCTGATATTTTACTATGTTTAGAGAAAACTGTGAATTGTACTACATTTGGTAGAAATTTCAAGCACTCAAAAAAATCTAACAAATATTGTTCAAATCACAATGCGACACAGCCATAGTTAAACAAAATCTGCCTAATCAGCTGTTTGCCAAGGGTCTAACAATATTAACTCTAGATTTCTCATTGTGGAAGCCTTTGAAAATGATGACTGAAGCCAGGATATCCCATTTAAAGCATCTTGGGTTATTTCAGAATCTTCCTCTTTTGGTGCTGCTGCTCCCTTATGAAGGATCACGCAACATATTATGAGTAAAAGCTGAAAATTCAAGCTACATCTTATTACAGGACGAAGTATTCCCTCCACCCCAAGGTTCTGTTGTTTATTTTTAATGGGTCCTTTCTTCCATGAGAGGGGAAGGTAATAGTCATCACTTTATTCCTTTGTATTTCGCACTTTGGCAACAACAACAAAAATTAGGCAGCCTGGAGTAGTAGAGGTACTAACAAACGGCTTTTTAGCTAAAATTATCTTTACATAGTAATTTGCCTTTGAACAAAACAATATTTCCTGAACCCTTAAGAATGGTCTACGCTGTACTGCTAATTTGTGTTTTATCATCATTTTATTCAATGTGTGAACAAACATCTCATTGTTTTCTTCACGTCAAACATTCTTCTCTACTAGGCATAAAAGACAGTAAACTGACATCTTGGAAACACATTTTCAAGCAAGTAAAAGTGACTGATCTGTTCTCGGAGGCAATATAACTCCCAAAAGACTTGTCGATACACTGAAAATATTTTATAAAGAAGCTACTGGAATCGATTAGCTTTCTAAGACCATCTGAGAAAATATTTGTAATTAAATTTCAGTGTAATTAATACTATATTCCTTGAGAACAAAGAAAGATAAGAATCAAGTCTAAGGGACAGGAAGGCAGAGAAGTGTAATTCCATTAACAAAAGGATTCAACTCCTAATTTCCTCTTCAGGAAACGGAAGTGTAACTTATGTTTTTAAAGGAAAATCACAATGGGAGTTGCATTCAAAATAGCTTATTTGGCTTTTTTACCTAAAAAAGGTGGGTGGTATTTTACTCCATAGTGCTTACACTCACCTGTATTTCGAGCTCCTTGTCCTCCAGTTTTATCAACACTTTCCAGCTCACTCACTCTATTCTGCAGGGACTCCACACTGCTCTTCATGATATCTGCCTCCTCCCAATTCTGTCGGAAGGGGCGGATCTCTTTGTCCAGCTCTTTCAATTTCTCTGCTTGATTATCTATTACTCGCTTTATAAAACAGCAAAATTTAGTTAAAATTAACCAAACTAAATTTGGTAAAAAAAGACAACCACCTGGAAGAGCTGGAAATACGAATGTTATACACAGATTGTGTCTGTGACAAAAACCATTTAAAATAAACTCACATCAGTTAACTGAACCTTAGTGGTAGTGTAACCTAGAGGAACAAGGATGGGACTAAAACCAGAATGGCTTTATTACTGATTCTGTCTCACTGATCTTCCTGGGAGGCTTTGGGTAGGACACTTAAACTCTCAATTTCCACCACGTGTGAAACAGATAACTACTTAAGCAAGGGTTTTGTGACAAATGAACATCTGAATAGCATTTTTAAATCAGAAAGTCCTCTATCTGTGCTAAATATTATGACTGAAGGACAATCAGGATCTCCAGTTAAAAAAAAAAAGTTTAGAAAATTATAGTTTGTTTGTTGATTACAACAGTTTGCTTCAGTATAAGATCTTACAATGAAAGTTGTATTCATTTGTTGAGTTTCATTTGGAAAGTGTCTAAGTGATTTAAGCGCCAAAACTCAGTAGAAAACATGTTTCTGCTCACTCAAGCACCCTTTGCTTCTAAATTTAAACAGGTCATGTATCCTGAAGGTGCTCCCAGGTTCAGCTTTATTTTTACAGCTATTCATCATTTTAAAAAGCCATCTCATCTCTGAAGCAGGCACAATCACTTCATTTCTCACTGCTCTATTTCAATAAAAAAAATTATACTAGGAAAGAAAAGTGCACCCACCAGATTGCTTCAAATCTAATACAAAAAATATGGAACCATAACCATATATTCAATTATAGAGTTCAAATGATAGTGAAACCATTTGAGACAAGAAACTACTTGGCTACCAGCTACAGTTAAATTCCAGATCTCAACCGACACTTTCATATAATTTGCCTTAGCAAATTTCAAAATGTTTTATTTATATATATTTTGTATTTTAATACAAAAACAAGTTCAATTTATTCTGTGTCTGCTTGCTGGGCAGATAGGCCAAATAATCAATATTCTTCATGGGGATGACTCGAATGTGTCTCACTTTATTCACTTCCCTTCTGATTGTGTATTTTAATCATTAGATTTCATTACATACTAGAAATCTATAACAATTAAATGAAGACTTCAAGTTTGACAGTCTGCTGGTACAATTATCGTATTCTATAGGTGTGTTTTATCTTGCGATAGCTAAGAAATTCTAAGCAAAATGGTAAATTTCACAAATATTCATTACTTTTTTTTTTTACACTGATGCTTCAAAATAAGTATGCGTGAAACCTGAAATGTGAAACAAAGCTCTGCACTAAATCAAATATATGGATTTGTGCTATCAAATAGATTAATGTTACTGTGCATTGTGATGCTAATCACAAAATACCAATAAAAAAACCCCTATTTCACTCTCAGCTCTGGGGCAAAAGACAACAGAGAAGAATAAAGCAAAGAACGGCCTTCAGTTGTATAGGTAAAAGGAGCACAACAAGAGATGACCTAAACCAATTGTATAAGAGCATATCAGCTAACTGGAACCAGGAGATCACAGATTCAGAAGCACACAAAATTTAAAGTACTCCCATAAGGTGACACTTGACTTGTATTCATAACACTAGACTGCAAGCTCAGTGAGGCAGCAGCATCTTTTTGTCAAGTTTTGTATAGTGCCTCACACAATAGGGTCCTGATCTGTGACCAACACAAAGAAAAAAATTAATTTTCAGATGAACCAGGAAGTGCCACTATGGAAAAAAATATGGAAAAAGTTTGGGCCAGATTTTTCTTTGGAACAATGGTGGCAATATGGGTAAAATTATTAGACTATTTTTAAGACCAATTTTTCTCTACATCAAGCCATATTTAACACAATACATCTTAATACTGTGTTTGATGATAAAGCATACAAGTTTTACAAAGAGTTTTGTTTGTTGTCCGAAAGTGTATTATTTTATCCTTCATGGGTTGTAATCTATTGAAAAGTAGGCACCTTATGCCTCTTCCCCTACAGGCAAGCAGAGGAAGTTCACACTGAGAATACAGGCAGTCCCCGAGTTACGCGGATCTGACTTACGGTGGATCCTCAGAGCAAAGCCGCAGAGGATGCGGGCGGGACCGCGGCGCGTCTCGGCGGTCCCGCCACCTGCATCTCCCTGGTCTGCTGGGGGGCGGGGGTACGCGCAGCTAGTGTGCCCCCCCTCCCAAGCAGACCAGGCTTTTCTCGCCGCCGACGCCTGGGGTACAGCAGCTGGGGTGTTGGTCCCGCAGTGCCACTCTCGGTGCTACTGGACCAACCCGGCAGCACCCCAGCTGCTCTGCCCCCAGGCGTCCCCAAGTCAGCCGCTGCTGAAACTGACCAGCGGCTGACTACAGGAAGCCCGAGGCAGAGTTGCTCTGCCCTGGACTTCCTGGAAACAGCCGCTGATCAGTTTCAGCAGTGGCTGACTTGGGGACACCTGGGGTGCTGCCGGGTTGGTCCCCGCAGTGCTGAGTGCGGCTCTGCGGAGAACTACCTGGCAGCGCCCCAGCTGCTCTGTCCGAGGCGTCCAAATTCAGCCGCTGTTGAAACTGATCAGCGGCTGATTCCAGGAAGCCCAGGGCAGAGCAACTCTGCCTCGGGCTTCCTGTAGTCAGCCGCTGGTCAGTTTCAGCAGCGGCTGAATCTGGATGCCAGTTCCAACTTACATACAAATTCAACTTAAGAACAAACCTACAGTCCCTATCTTGTACGTAACCCGGGGACTGCCTGTACTGACAAACTAACCCTGAATTTAATATAGCAGTGGAGAATTATATTTTCTCTAATTATGTCATTAGTCACCATGCAGATGTCTCACATTGTACTCATAAATTTTCAAACAGACATGAATTTTCTATTTATGACTTTCTATTTCAGCCACTGACTTCTCCAGATTATTAACACACACAGCTCTATGACTGCATTAAGCCACACATGCCTTTTCTGGATACTGAAATGGGTGATTTTTAATCTTTCTGAAGGCAGATACTCATTTGTTATATTTTATCCATTTATAAAAATTGTACACATTATTTCAGGACAAGTCCTGGCTAGTAAAACTAAGCCTTCTCCAGAACTTAGACAGTAGAACTCCAAAAGGATCTCAGCAGCTTTCAGGAAGGAAGGAAGGGATAGACAATGTGGGCAAGGCAAAGTCTTTTATTGGACCAACTTTTATTGGTGAGACACACAAGCTTTAGGACTGCACAGCGTTCTTCCTCTAGTTTGGAAGATATTGCGTGCCACTGCTAACTACTAGGTGCAACAAATAGTTTAGCATAGCACATATTCTAAGGACAGAACTATACTATACTTACCAGGATATTGACACTGTGGCAATCGAGCTGGGAGGGATTTCAAGGGATTTAGAGAGTCATAATTCAAAATGATCTGGACAAACTGGAGAAATGGTCTGAGGTACCGTATATTCCGGCGTACAAGACGACCTCTGATGTTAAAAACCATCCCCCAAAAATCGGGGGTCGTCTTGTACGCCGGGTATACATCCCAGGCGCGCCTGGGATGCCCCACCGCCGGAGCCCCTCCGCGGCTTTGAAAGCCTCGGGGGAAGCCGGCGGGGGGGCATCCCAGGCGCGCATGGGCTGCCCCCCCGCCGGAGCCCCTCC